GGAGATGCAAGTATCTGTTGTGCTTGAAAAGGTGAGTATACCACGTCGTGCAACCTGTCCAACTTGTGTCGCAGAGTTGAAAGATGTCGCGACCTAAGTCTGAGTGTTCTTCCAACTTCGATCGTTGATAGTGAGAAACCCAGTATCGCGATGCGTAGTCGAACATCGCGTGTTTGTTAGCGTAGTCATCTGATGCGACTTCGTCAAGGCTCCTCAATAGTGGATGACGGGAACCAAGGTTGAGCAGGTACCAAACACATATCCTTGTAATGATTTGGTTTGATTCCTCCAACTTCAAGCATGCCTCCCATTTGAGGCAGCGCCGCGATCGAGCTTCCCGAATGAGAAACTCTCTTGCAGTTTGGTGTATCAGGAGGACTCGATTTTTCACAACAGCCACAAAAAGACCACAGATATTCCTCATGCCTTCGACAACTGAAGAAGTACTCATAACAGAGAGCTCATCACCAAACGATTGTTGACCATTGACAGCCATGGCCACCGCCATTTCCTCCACTGATAAGGGTCTGGCGGCTGCGACTACAATGTGCAACAACGTCTTAGCTGCTTGAACGTCCACGCTTTGCCGCAGGATCTTGTCGTAGGCATCTTCGACTGTCTCTGGAAGGCGGTCAAGAAATCTCTCGAGGCTGTTGTTTTCGACACGTTCGAGGTTTTCAAGCATGTCACAAATGACATGGATCCAAAGATAAGTTCTGTTGCTCACCTGAGTGAGCCTTTGAAGAACTTTCTCTTCCTCCTCGAGGCTGAGCTTTGATTCCAGCACCAGGTCTGCGACCTTCTGTCTGATGACGATGTTTATCTCCGCTGAGATCTTAACAACTTCAGCTTCGTCTTCTCCGCGGAGGTTAATATGGGGTATTCGACTTTTCCGAATGGCTCGTCGAATTTGGCTATAAGGCCGACTTAATAAGATGAACCTCATGCCTATCTTCCCATTTTCGTAAAGATCACCCAATCCCTTGGCCATTCTGGACCATCCTGAAGCCTCGCATTCGTCCAAGCCGTCCAAGACGCAGATGATGTTGGTGGCATTGGTGGCATTGGTGGATATGTTGACGAAAATATTCCAGAGGGCATTGAATGATGAAGATCTCTTTGTGCCGAGTTCCTCAAGAGATTTCAATACTTCGTCTGTAAACAAACTGAATTCATCACTCAGCAGTTGGTGTAGTAGACATTTTATTGCACTTTCCACATTATCCTGGTCGTCAAGACCATCTTTGAAGAAGAAGTAGATGACTCTTTGTGTTTCCAGTTCGCGATCGATCAAGTACCTGGCCAGGACGGACTTGCCACAACCAAGGTCTGCAGAAACCCAAAGAAAGCTCTCTTCTGGGCTGGTCATCCAGCTCTGGAAAGTTTGGTGCTGGGTGAACCACCCGCATGTTTCGGACATGGCCTCGGGGTTCCGATTTTTATGGTCTTCGTAAGGCGCACAGTTGAGACCGCGCAAAACCTCTCGTCTTTTCTGGGCTGTAGGCGGAGATTTGTTAGCATTGTTGACTGCGAAAATAGGTGCTTGGAGCATATCATTGAACACAACGTGCATGAGAGATTCCTCAGCCGGACAGTGTGTACTAGTGATGATGAATCTGAATTTCTACTGACCTAATGTCGGCCCAAAATGGGCATCTCCGCTAATGTTGTTGATATTTCCAGAACCAAAATTGTTCCATGTCGTGGTGTAGTCGCCGACTTGATTCAACATAGGTCCTTGTCCCCCATGAGAGATGCTGACCCTGGTCCCATCTTCCAGCAGCTCATCTGGGACCGATTTCCTAACCTCCCCAACTTTCTCAATGGCTTCCTTCAGACTATCGAGTTGTTCTGAGCTTGCCGATTTAATTGCATGGTGACTCGCCAGAGTGTAAATATCCTGAAGAATCTTCTTCAAGAGGTCTTCGACACGTCCTTTCTTGCCGCGACTCTTGATCAGAGACATGTATCTGTCCACGTGCTGATTCCATGCCGATGTAGTTTCTCCTGGTTCAAGCTTCTCCAATGTTGTCTTCAGAGCCTCGGCGTTCCCTTTGCAAGACTTGACGATGGGAAGAACCGCCTTGGCGGCCTCTTCGGAGGCCTCTCGAGATCGATCCTCGACATCGCGGAGAATTTGTTGAGCAAGCGGCACTCTAAGCGCGACTTCGGAAAACGCTTCGGGTAGCCCCTTTATCGACTTGAGTTTTTGGTAGGCCAGTTCTGCCCCTGCTAGTATGCCTACGATGCTGCCCACAATTCCTATGACCTCGGCCATTGTGGCTTTGAGCCTGGGAAGGCTAGGGGACCGCTAACGGAGGAGGCTGCGCAGGAACGCGATAGGAATTTAATGAAGAAGTCCTATTCGTGCCTTGAGCTGAAAGCTCAGGGGGCAGTCGCGAAGTCTGTTGGATCACCGCTCGTGATCGGCGTCGTGGAAGACCATACCACGATGCGCGAATATCGGGGACGAATGTTGGTCAGAAAACGAACAGTGAGGGGGAACAGAACCAGGCTGTCAGGATGTTTCACAGTCAGCATCTTCTTGAACAGCCGATCTATCCTGAAGGCTCATCCAGATGTTGGTTGGTGTAATTGATGTATCTTAGTGCGCCAAGGCGGCGTGACCACCCATGTCCCGATCCAATGAAAATACGGCTCGCTTCTACGGGCTCTGTGTTCGTGATGAATCCTTCTTCTGATGATGTTCAAACTTATTTTGAATTATTACTTGATAGTTCTTTCATCCCACAGTCTGTAACAGTAGAGGATCGTGACGAGTTTTATCCACAACCTCAACCATCTGAAGCGCCATAATCTCCGAGAACCCGTGGCGCCACACATGAGCGGGCATCGCAAACTTGCTTGCTAGTGGAGCGTATCTGGTTCAGCAGATGGCTGCTGTGATGCCAAAAAGATATCGTGGGGCACATTGAGGAAAGTGCAGTGCAAGGGAATCACAGGCTGCCTCTTCTCCTTGTCGAATTTGTAGCTGGCATTATTGGCGCTGTGAGCGGTTCACATCTCGATGCACTTGCTTTCGACCTTGTCAGCCCTGTGAGCATTGCCCGCCTCGATGCGTTTGCCGTCGACCATGACCCTAATGAGGCCAGCATAGATGCCTTCAACCTCGGCCAGCAACTGTTCCTAGTTAATAGGTCGTATCCCGGGCTGTTTGAGGTGAGGACGAAAGGTCACAATGGTCCCGAAGGCACCCTGCTGTCTCCGTATTGCATTGTTCCAGTGGCTTCTTTCCGGTAGTCCAAAGGTTCTCTTCTTTTTGGGTTGGCTCGTGACGGAAGTCATGATTCGGGGTACACTCTAGCCCCCGCGCGGCTGCTTTTTGGCAAGCGCAGGCAGTCCTCACTGTCCCCTTTGAGTTGATTGACAGATGCTGGTGATTTAAGATGTTGATCTTGGCCTATGTATGTTTCTGCTTCTGGGTATTCCCAATCGGCTTGTTGGCGGCCTACGCATTTTGTACCTCGACGAAGACATGGGGCTCGCTGCGCCCCATCTTGGAGCTTACGCGGTCATCATCTCGCGAAGATTTCGAGAGCTTGTCCTTTTCGGAGACAACGAGGGAGACGAGCCCGAGTTCGATGAAGGCGGGGAGGAAATAGAAGGCACGACCGATATCGAAACCTTCGTTGTGGACTACAAGAGCCCAGGCCAGAGTAGGCACTAAGATTGTGACTATGCTGGGAATTGTTCTTCTATGTCGCGAGTAAGTATTAGGGCAGGCCACGGCGAGATCTAGCAATTGGGAAGGATTTACCTCAGCAGGAATGCCTGGTGATAGAAGAAAAGCCCTATAGTGATGAACGTCCAAAGCAAAAGGCAACTAAACAGAGAAATTAGCGGAGAACCAACATCAAACCAAGGGCTATCATCACGAACACAAGAGACGCATGTGACGCCCAAGCGTGCCTCCTTTCTTGGGTCGCGAAAGTGGCAGTGATGACTGCGATGATTGATTTGAGCTGGAAGGTTACTCCACCTGCAGACATCGTACAGGTACAGTCTCTGCGTTGCAGAGCCAGATCGTGGATTGGCAAATTAGGGTGATATGGGGCAAGCGTAGTGACGGCGGAAGATGACAAGCCTTGTTAAGACTAAACTCGGATGCCGTCGAAGGTGGTCTTTCTCGAATTATGTATCACAACAAATAGTCAGACGTGGGTGGGCGAGAGAAAAGAGTTGTTCGAACAGTGTTGATGTGTGAAGATTGCAAGAAACTGCTGCGGCGGTAAGCGGGCGTGATGATAACGGTCTTGGGGTTGAAGCAGAAAACCGGGTAGGATTTCGCGCGTCAATGGTAATCGGACAAAGGCTAGCTCGTCAATTTCCCGTCTTCGCATCGTAACTTCGCCCGGGTTCGCCTTGGAAATGGGAAACGCTGAAGGAATCCCGCATGCCTCGCCGCACAGCTGCAGCAACATCGCGCATTCGACTGACGTTTGAGTGGGCGCCACCACAGAATTCGCGGCGAATCAAAGCTGAGAATATTTGAGTTGCGCTTTTCGGGCAACAGTCTCCCATGCTACCTGCACATCTTGGCAGCCTGAACGGGACGCCCAGTCCAGCTGTTGCGGTTCTTTGCACCAACCTGAGAGGAGTCGGAAACATGTTTCCAAACTCGCGATGTCAGCTGTCTTGACAAACCTCCATCATGCTTGTTCCCACGTCTTCTGTCATCCCATACTCATTTGGAAAAGCACACAGCAATATTTACCAACCGAAATAACAAGAGCAATCCCATTACATCTCGTGTCATTTTGACGTCGGCAAGATTTGCCATGTATGAAAGGGCTCTCCATGGCTCTGCCAGTGATGATGGAAAAGCCACCCAGCCTGCGACAGAATATCGAATGCTACAGAGCTGTCGCGAACCCCATAATGGCAAGGGTTCGCAAAACATTCACCGCGATGGAAAAGACGGTGGACACCTTGTCTCGTGGAGACCATTAATATTTGCCCGACTTCTCCTTGCGTGGCTCATGATATTCGGGGTTCTTGTCACCGCTAGGAACTTTTCGCCGGATGGACTGAGCACTTGGACATACTACTTCCCCGTATGTAACACCGTTCTGCCACTAATCCATTACGTTCACTGACTCTGAAAACATAGATTTGCGACCCGACGGATTGGCGACGTACCCCTCCGCAACGATTCAGATTCCTACCAAATAACCCATCATGCGAATCACAGATTGCGCAGCTGGTTGGTTTTGAAATACTTTTCTGGGCCAATGCTTTCAGCTTGCTTTGGAATTCGACCTTTGGGCAGAGACATGTGAGATGGGTGTTTGGAGTAACCGCTGCGGGAACCTTTATGACGATAGTGCGCATCCAAGACCCGTCCCCAGCTCTGCTGCTGGTGATGCCGTTTATCCTAAGTGTCTGTTCTTCCATCGGTTTCGTCGTAGATGTCGGCAGATAGAGCTTTCCCGCTTCAGCGATAGGTCACCATGAGAGGATTGAAATTCGATTATGAGGTTTCCAAGAACATCACCGGAATGCGATACCCCAGTTTCTGCAGGAATCAAGGGGATGGAGTTCATGTCGAAGTCTATGGCCCGGCTTCAAAGGGCAGAAGCATCTAAATTGTAAATAATGACAATGCTTCAAAACATATGTAGACACGCATGCCTACAGGTTTGTAACCGACTGCTCTGGCAAACCCACAGTGCTGTTTGTGTTCTATAATGTCACTTCTTAGCACACATGATGCAATTATCAAGTTGTAGATACTCTCTCGGTGAAGCACTTCACTCGAATGATGGATTTAATTGTGTCTAAGGCTCTACTGAGATCCCAGGAAGAGAGGCAATCATCAACTCAAGCCCCCGAGCTCCATAACTGATGATCACATAGACCATGGGGCCTCAGGAGTCTCCGTTCAGCCAGATCTCAAGCTCGTCACAGAACCCAGGCCACATGTCCAATTCTGTCTGTTCTCACCAGACTCCTTTCTTTCACCGCCCGGATTCCAGACCGCGTCTTCACTGACAAGCATCAAATCATGCCCAAAATACTCTACATAAACGTCATCATCACATCTTCAGCCTCGGCTCTCATTCATGAGCCAAAGCCCATCCTGAGACCGCACATTCCCATGGCTGGCGACCTCATAGCACCACCGTATATTGTATTGCGTGATTCAGAATCAAGGGCCGTTGTGAACACCGGCGATGATGTCGACCGCCACCCCTAAACAAGGCCATCTAATCACCTCCAAACCTCGGAATCACCCTCGGGAAAACAGAGCTGAATCGGGACCACCGAGCCTTCGCATTCACCAGCAAGCTTTGCGCCGTATTCATCAACCAGACGATCGAGGCCCAGTTACGATCGGCCCGCCCACCCGAGGAACACCCTCTCCAACTCCCTCATCGCCGTCCCATAAAGGCCTCCACGGAAACTCACTATGAACACAGCCGAGGTCCAGCCTAAACCGGCATTCATCTCGTCCCCGTATTCCACCAGAGAGGTTCGCACATACACTCATACAACCTGCCAGCAATAAAACCTCTGCGCCTCGCAGTCGCAGTCGCGCTTCGTTGCAACTACCCTTCCCCTCCAAGAAAGCCTACGCAATCTTTCCTCCCTAATGCGCGCCCAAACCCTCCCTCCCTCTCAAAACGTAATCAAACTTACGACGAACTCTTTTGCGTTCCTCACCACATTAGCAAAACCAAGCCGTCGCTGAGCTTAATCCCACCGCAAAGAGGGAAGGTCCTGCTCCTATCGCCGTAAACCTTGCGCGAAGCCGAGGGACTTTACATAAGGTACGAAGAGAGGGAGCTCTGGCCTCCCACCCTCCCGCGCCGAGATGCGACGAACTTACAGAGAGCTCTCGACCTCGGCTGTTTGAGAATCTGTCCGCCAATGCAAGGCAGATTCGAATCAAAACCGCCTAAACCACGAATCTTGATTATGTCGAAAGTGAGTACTAAGCTCGAGGGTGTATGGCGTTTACCACCCCCTACCTCTACCATTACCACCACCACCATCACACCTCTCTCCCCTCGTTTTCGTACAAAGTTCACGCAGCCCGTTGATGTCAGTGAAGAACTTCTGCCCCCTCCACCGGCTTGGCATGGAGCCGAAAAGTCCACGGAGCCGTCCGGCCACCAGCTCCGCGGACGTCCGCGGAGGGAGAATAAGGAGAATGGCATCATTTCGTACGTGTTTCGGCCGAGAAGTTTCTTGTCCGAAATGCAATCTGGGAGGTTACGCTCCCGCAGCATTAAGTGTCGTTGTCGTAAACTGAGTATGTCGCCCTCCTTTGTGACTCGCCTGGGCCAATAAAAGGGGCTTTTTTGGTGCTGTCCCCAATTCCTTGTGAACCAATAGACTGGTGTTTCGTGATTCGTGATGTTCGTGTGTTTGAAGCGGTACATTCGCTCGACTTCTAAAGACTTTCATCTCATAGCCCATGCCCTGGATAATGCAGATGAAGGGACACTGGCGATACAAAGGGGGTTAGTCCTGAGGGGTTTAGAGAGAGATTACGACTCAGCTGGCAGTACATGATAGAGACCATCGCCAAAGTAGCCTGGCTGTTCGGAAAGATAGCCGTGACGATAAGGGCAATCCCAGCTGTTTGAAACCAGACAGATTGTAGACACTATCACCAAGCGGCAACTACCATGCCGGAGCCATCCAAAGGGACGAAAAAAGGGGTCTCAGGCATTGGCGGGGTTCGGTTGATGACACTGAACTACTGGCCAGCCTCCAACGCCCGCAGATGGGATACTGGTCCTGGCACTGCGGTGCGTGCTGCAATCGCCGAAAAGACACCACATGTGTACGTCGTCGTCGTCGAGAGGCTGAGATACGAATGTCTCGGGTGACCCGAGTTCCTTCAATAGGCATGGTCTGTGAAGCAGACGTTTCGCAGTTTTACATGATGGCACTGACGCGGGCCACATGCAGCACGGGAGTCAAGATGAGGTGACGTGCAATTCGCAGTGACGCCAAATCTTCAAGGAAAGGCATGTTTTCTTCACTCGGACGAGCCCTAGAAGCTGCTCCGACCATGTTTCCAAGGACAATCGTGCCTTGATTTGGGCGAGTGTTGCCTACTTTCGTGACCACCGGAACAAAACCCCCTTCACCGGCACAAAAGACCGCGCAAATCGAGATCTCCCGGAACCAAGCCTCCGGAAACACCCAGGCGCTCAGACCGCTTGAGCCCACCTGAACAAAACCACCGACCGCGGTCCTGGTCTGTCAGACGCCGAAGTGCCGTGACGAGATGCCTGGCCAGCACCGGGCCTCAGCATCGGCGCGATTCCCAACAGTGGACCGTCTCCACTCCTCCGTGACGGCGATGACTGATCGGGGGCTCCATCGTACGACGCGTCTGAGTGCTCGTCCTAAGGTGGATGCGCGGAACAGTCCGACTTAAACCGATCCCCACCGCAAGGTAGAAAAAAACAGATGCTAATGGGGCCGCGCCAAAAAAATCTTTGCACTGCTGATCACACAAACAGTCACTCGGTCTGGATGCTTACATCTCCGGGCTGAATAGCGGGGCAGACTTAGGTCGGAAGTCGGGTAAGTGGTGACGAGGACCATATCACACACATAATCCCATTGTTCAGGGGGCTGGTCGAGCCGTTGTCGCTGTTGACTCCGTTGCTCGTGCGTTGGTTGCCCCAGCTGCAGAAAAATGCCAGCATCGTGAGAAGGAGAAAGAAGATTTCCCCCTTCTTGCTGCCCACCGATGACCGGCGGGATATTTCCCTTCTCGTGGAAACATGAGGTAACCGATGCGGCATTTCTAGCCGCTCGTTAAGCGCGGAACGTCGCAGGCCTCGTGGGAAAAGTTGGCAGGCACCTTTGTGAGCTCCAGATAAGAGAGGAAAAAATGAAGAATCCAGTGGAGCCAAGACGCACTTCGTGATCGTAAACTCGAGAGGTTTGACTCGTGCAACCGTGGGCCAACCTTGGCAGCCACCAACTTTTTCCTCGTAATGACTGTCAATCGTCTGGTCAATCATCTCGATTGATATCATAGCCTCCAGCTGACATGTGCCAACCCACTAGGGCGTAGGGAAAAAGCTTGGCATGCTGCCCTCGTAGATCCCCAGATCTGCCTCCCGCCATGTAGCTTCGCGGGCCAACTCCGCCAAGTGAGTTTCTCGAAACATCATTGAATGAAGATCACGATACTTGGAGAAACAAAAGGCTACATCGGCTTATCTCCATGCGTTCCGCGGCGGCAGACTGAAAGCCAGTCGAGCATCTTCATCACGACAGTGGGGCCCATGCGTTCCGCGGCGGAATCATGTTGCACCTTTGGCCAGCTGTTTGGTGATAGAGACAGTCAGCCCATTCCCAATGCAGAGCCTTGTCGTTATATCCATGCCTATTGTCGCTGCCACGTCGCTGGACGTACTGGTTGCTGCACCTCGGGAGCGGCCCACTGTGCATAAGGAGGTTAGCCGGTTGGTCATGAACGTGTTTTTGTGCCGCCGCCGAAAGTCCTCCGACACATTTGCATAGATCCCCCAGTAAATCTCAGATCAAGCACGGAGATAGCAACGGGGAATAGGCCCCACTGTCCCGACTGTCCTGCAGACAGGGGCCGGTGGCGTGACTCGAATCACATCGGTTTCGCGACAAGCCATCGCCGTGCTCCGCTATCAGTGGTTCAGCCCCTTCCAAATGCGTCGTGAATGAATAAGTTACCAGGTCGATCGTGCTCCAGACCGACAGAAGATTGGAAATACCAAGGAAGTGTGATTGCAAACAAGGCATGCAGTCTGCTTAGTAGATGGGCCGGGCCACTCGCTTGGCCATGGCAGATTGAGCGCCGTATTCTCGTTTCGTCAACCGTTTTGCCATGTGTTTCCGTGATCTCTGTGACCGACTTTCTTTTGTGAAGAAGCATAGCTCGGTACTAGCCTTTTGGATCATTCGGTGGTTCAGCTCCGGAATTATGGATCTGCCTCCGTGCCTCCGGACCCGGTAGCCGCCGGTGCCAAGCATGAACGGCGTCCGGGCACCGTAATCCCGTGGTCCCGTTCGCGGGAGATACCGGCCGGAGTCCAGCCCAAGAACAGGTAGCGTAGAGACGGGAAAACTTTGCTAGACCTGTCCCACAGTGAGCCTCGGCTGAGCCATCGGCTTGCTTCCATTGAAATTTGAGTGTGGCCAGCGCGATCATGCGCCCCGATTATCCACCCCGGCGGGAAGACGTGCAACCCCGGTGCCTATCAATCATCAGACGGCAGAAGGAGCGCAGTTATCCACATGATAGCTGCGGACGATCACTGATACGGGATTCAGCAGGAGGGAGTGCCTTGTGAAAGGTTGGTTGTCGTCTCCCGGGAGACCCATCAGCCTCGGGGGCGCCGTTCGATACCTGGGGGGTGTCCTCTATTTCGAACCTCCAAGTTGTCAGTTGTCTAGAACCAGACAGGCGGGCCG